AAATAACTTTCTATGAAGACGAATCAGATGTATGTGCGAGTTGCTTTAGAGTGAGTAGCTACTGTCAAGCTATGTTAATCTAATCATCTATTATTATTTGTCTGCAGAGGGAATGCAATTATCTTCAGCCTGAACTTGGTGACAAAACAATTTCAGACCTTGCTCACCTGACACTTTCTGGTGATGTAGTAATGTCCAGAATTAAGTACAATCACTGTGACTGTGGGCTTGTGATGGACACTGTATCTCCTCATGTCTCAGCTGCCCTACAGGTCAGTAAAATTTATCGCAGCCTTTGGTGTGTTAATCTTACAATTGCTAAAACTGTTGTTCTGTTTCGGAAATCTAGGCTCTTTTACATGTGCCTAACTTGCGAGACTTTTTTGACAAGGATGTGGAACACAAGAAAGTCTGCAAATCTTTATTGAATTGCCTTGTCTGTGCTTTCAACAGAGTCACTGAAAGTGCTTTAAACAAAGTTTCCACTGTTGGAGTGGTCGATGCATCCTTCTTTGCAAGGAAGTGGAAAAGTATGTTCAGTTTTGGGCTTGTGACATTGTGTCTCATTATATCTTTATTCATACCTCTACTCTGTGATGAATAGGTCTGTCAATTTCACTATCTGAAGAGAGGAAGAAGGACCCTCATCAGGTGTTATATCTGTTTCTGACAAGGATCAGGTATGAAGTGGTGACAAGAGGAGAATGGTCTTCACTTAATGATTTCATGAAAAGTCCTCTAACAAATATCTTTTATACAATTATTTCCAAGGATGGTAAGTATTTTAATTCTAATTTCTAGTTTTACTTTCACTGTATGACTTATGTTGCTGTTTTTTCCCCCCCAGTGTCATGTACTGCTTGTGGAAATTTTACAAAGGACATGCCATACCTTACTTTGTCCATAGACAGTTTTAGTGCTGACCTATCTGCAGATTTGAGTTCCATTCTCTCTCAAAAACCAATAGACACATGTCCTTTTTGTCACATACTTCAAGCTGAACTAAAAACCAGTTCAGTAACTTTGCCTAAAGTTTTGATTATTCATTCAGAAAAGTAAGTACTTGTGTCCTTATTTGTAATTAACTGCTCTCAATACAAGAAATGTCTTTTCATGTCAGTAATGTTTCTATTCATAGGAGTAGCCCAAACTTCAAGTGGAGGGGAGAAGTTAATATTTTAGGTGACTCGTTTGAGTTTTTGGGCTGCATTGTGGATGCTGAAGGTGGGCCCTTTTATGCAAGCATGTGTCCGGATGGGAAGTTGAGGACATTTAAGGATTTTGAGGTAACATTCATAAACAATAACATTATTTTAATGTCAATGGAAACTACTAAAATGTTGGCATTAACTGATTAAAATGTGGAAGACAAAACAAAATGATGGATTTATATCTAAGTTATCAGTTCACAACAGTAGGAAGTATAAGAAAAATTAACTTTTTCCATATTAACAAATTTTCTTTTTTAAAGGTTTCCACAATAAGGCCTGGGAAGTTTGCACTCTCTGAATATTTGGTGCTAGCAAAGCTGACACTATTGTACACCAAAAAGGAAGTTGTGAGTACTACTG